TGCCACCAGGAAGCCCCCCAAAGAGGGGAAAGAGGCGGGAGGGGAGAACAGTGCCACAGGCCTAGGAAAATGAACGGACGGCTTCCTCTTTTCCTGCTTCTGTCCGACTTCCGCACTCTCACTCCTGCTGGGCTGGCAGGGACCTGGCCATAGACCCGCCCCTGCCGCTCACTCCCCGGCAGGAGGGAGCCCGAAGGCCCTCGCCCTCCTGGGGTCTCCACCCCCAGCCAGCAGCACCCCCAAGGGCACCACACACCTTGCGGAAAATTGCAGCAGGTTTTTTTCCTTTTTCTTCTTTTTCTAAACATGGAGAACTGTTCAGGCACAAATATTAAACAAGCCCACATTGCATCCCTGGATTGTACTGAATCACTGGGTCCCCCAGCCCCCCTCCCCACCCTGCACCCCAGACCCACCTTCCTCACATCCGTGGCCTCCTCCAGAGCAGCAACGATATTTACTATTTATATCTCTCTTGCTATATATCTCTCTCTATATATCTGTCTATCCTACACACATAGGATTTTAATGCTTTGAGTGAGTGAAGGAGTGACAGGGAAGGGGCACGGGTGAGGGGCAGTGTCACTGGAAGCAGCGGGGACACGCCTGTCGGCGGGAACCCAGGGGAGGGACTGTGCCCAACCTGGACCCTGCAGACTGGAGAGCGTGAGACGCTGGACAAGGCAGAGCGAGCAGGGCTGTCCGCCGTCCACAGCCAAAGGCAGCAGGTGGCCAAGGGCCAGATGTCGGAGAGAAAGGGGAGTAAAGCCACTCAGACCTCACCTGGGGGGGAGCAGCCTCCCCGCCCCCAGTCTCCAAGCCCCCTTTATCCAGACACAGTAAAACCTCCAGATAATCCCTGGCCCTCACCTTGCCCTTAGGCCTGGCCACGGCGGCCCTGGCAAGATCAGAATTCTCACCTTGGTGAGCAGGAAGCCGAAAAGAAAGCAAGACACAGGTCTCCCACTCAGCGCCCTTCAGAAACCGCAGTCTGGACCCCTCTTCCTGCCTCCCTCCTGGGGCTCCCTGGGGCCCGAGCTTCAGTACCATCCAGTGCTGCCCGGCAGACGCCACGCTGCCTGACCTCACACGCCGCACACAAGCAGCACGTGCACACGCACACGCACACGCGCGCACACACACACACACGGACATTTTGGTGGTGGTGGTGGTAGTTTTTTTTGTCTTTTCCTTTTCTTATGCACATTACAAAAGGAAGGGCAAGGTCCTGCAGAACTGATGAAGCAACTAACAAACATTACAAAAATATTACAATTTGTATGATTGGCTCCACCCTCTCAGCTTTTAGGCAAAGGGGAGGAGGCCCTGGCTGCTGGGCGGTGGGGCCAGTGTGGGTGTCAGCCGGGTCCCTGGAATAGTTTGATTTCGTTCCCTTCCCCACCAAAGCTCAATGACTTCTTGCTGTTAACACACTGTCTCCCGGGACTTACAGACCCCGGGGCCCGCCAGCCCCCCTTCCTTCCCAGACGGGGGAGGAAGCCATAGTGCACAACGAATTCCCGCAGACCGCTCCTCCCCAAAGACTTCCCCCTTCACATTATAAATAAAACTGCTCTAGTCACGGAGTTCAAGTTTAGCTTTTTCCTTTCCCAAGCACTAACTCATTATTATAATTGCAAAGTAGCATCCTCCCTACTTATCACCCCAATCCATAGTCCAGCGACACGGTCCCCCCAATGCTATACCCCCAACAGTTTTTAAGGCCTTCAGATTGGGTGGGCAAGACTGGAGGGGTGGGGCCAAGAGACGGGGGGTGGTCCCAGCAGCACCCATCCCTCCAACGGCCCTCCCTCTTCTCCTCACGATGCTTCTCCCCAAAACCGCTTCCCTAAACCACTTTTTAAAACCTAAGATAAAAACGCAGCCACAACTTTCTCCAAGAGAGAAAGGAAAGAAAGGAACTTCCACAAATAAAGCATGAGACGAAACTGAGGGCCCATCCCACCGTGAACACAAACATGGCAAATGTGCTTTCCTAAGCTGGGGCGGAGGCTGGGAGAGCGGGCAGCAGCGCCGCAGACCGGCAGGAGGGGACAAAGGAACTGAACGAACCTAAGAGGTAGCTTTCAGAAAACAACACCCCACCCCGCACAACCGAACCCGACTGGCGCATCCCTCGCAGCAGCCGGGAAGCAGACCGATTTTGGCAACGAGAATGCGCACAGAGGTGGGGGTCACGCACAGAGGTGGGGGTCACGCGCAGAGGTGGGGGTCGCACAGACGCAAGGATCTGAATAGCACAAGCCCCCAGACCCAGCAAACTGTAAGAAAGGGGGGGTCGTGTCCAGAGCGTTTTAGGCTGAACCGATGCTGGGCATGATGAGTTCATGCTCTGGGCAGAGCCAACACAGTGACTCCAAAGGCCCCCAGTACACCTCCCCCTCCACCCACCTTCCGGGGACCCACCCCCCACATTCAGGTCCCCAGGACTCAATCCTTCTGTGCAGCTCCTTCCCGCTGGGAAGCTGGTCGCTCAGGGATGGGGGGGCCTTGGCCAGCTAACAGGTAGGTACTAAACCAACTATTAAATTTACACAAGAAACACAAAAGAACTCCCTCCCCATTCTTCCAACCCCCAACCAAAGAGAGAGATGCAGGGGTACAAAAGCTCACGAGGTCACGAAAAACTGAGGTAATTCAAGCACAACGTGCTACAGGGGAACCCGGACACACAACAGAAGTAACAGAAG